GAAAAATGCAAAATCACAGCAATTAAAATTGCAAACATAAAATGAAATGAATATCAAAATTCAACTACAATTACAAGTAAGGTAAATTGGTTCAGAAATGTGAGTTGCCTCTCATAAAGCGCTCTTTTAACGTCACTAGCTTACGTTAAATGTTCCTCACTGCTGAAGAACCAAGTTAATGCAGAAATTATTCCTAATGATTTCTCCTCCATGGTAGATCTTTAACCTTTGGCCTTTTACTTTAAATTCTCTTCCTTCTTTTTGATCTTCAAGTAACACAGCACCAAAGGGAGAGACTTCTTTTACCTTAAAAGGTCTTGACCACCTTGACTTGAACTTTCTAGGAAATAACTTCAATCTTGAATTGAATAGCAGAAATAGCTGCCCTGGTCTGAATTCTCTTTACAAAATGAATTTATCATGTATTCTTTTAGTTCTCTCCTTATACACTTTTGCATTTTCATATGCAAATTGTCTGAACTCCTTAAGCTCATGTAACTGCGGCATTCTTTTTTCTCCAGCATTGGTTAAATTGAAATTTAACCATTTAGTAGCCCAGTATGCTTTATGTTCAAGTTCCACAGGAAGATGACATGCCTTTCCAAACACTAATTGATATGGTGACATACTAATTAGTATTTTGAATGCAGTTCTATATGCCCATACTGTGTCATCCAATTTCCTTGACCAATTCTTCCTTGAACTATTAACCACTTTCTCCAAAATTTTCTTAATTTCTCTGTTGGAAATTTCAACTTGTCCACTATTTTGAGGATGGTAAGGTGTGGCTATTCTGTGTTTTACTCCATACTTTTCCAAAACAGATTCAAGGTATTTGTTGTAGAAGTGGGATCCTCCATCACTTATCAGAATTCTTGGCACTACAAATCTTGCAAATATGTTCTTCTTTATAAATGAAATCACCACTTTATCTTCATTTGATCTGGTTGGTATAGTTTCAACCCACTTAGACACATAATCCACTGCCACAAGTATATATTCAGGAGAAAAAGAGATTGGAAAGGGTCCCATAAAGTTTATTTCCTACACATCAAACAGTTCCACCTCCAAAATGTTGTTCAAAAGTATTTCATGTCTTCTAGAAATGTTGCCCACTCTTTGGCATTTGTCACAACTCTCCACATAGGCTTTTGCATCTTTGAACAATGTAGGCTAGAAGAAGCCTGCTTGTAAGACTTTAGCAGTTGTCCTAGAACCTCCATGATGGCCTCTATAATATGAATTGTGGCAGTGCCATAAGATATCAGCTTGCTCTTTCTGTGGAATGCATCTTCTCAATATACCATCCACTCCAATTTTGAATAGATGAGGATCCTCCCAAATGTAGAACTTGCTGTCATGAAGAAACTTCTTTCTCTGTTGCCAACTCATTCTCTTTGGAATAAGTTGAGTAGCCTTAAAGTTTGCTATATCAGTAAACCAAGGTAATTCTTCCATAGCTAGTAGCTTTTTATCAGGGAACTCCTCATTAATATCACAGCAATCTGATTGTAGTGCTTCCAAAGGTATTCTGAACAGATGATCTGCAACACCATTATCCTTTCCTTTCTTGTCTTTAATTTCCAATTCAAAATCTTGGAGTAGTAGGATCCATCTCAGCAGTCTTGGTTTGGCATCCTGTTTAGAAAGCAAGTATTTCAAGGCAGTATGGTCAGTATATACCACAACCTTTGATCCTACCAAATAAGATCTGAATTTATCAAAAGCAAACACTATAGCAAGCAGCTCTTTTTCAGTGGTTATGTAATTAATTTGTGCAGAATTTAGGACTCTACTAGCATAGTAAATCACATGCAGTCTTTTATCTTTCTTTTGTCCTAATATAGCACCTATTGTATTGTCACTTGTATCACACATTAGTTCAAATGGTAAAGTCCAGTCAGGTTTAACAAGTATTAGAGCTGAAATCAATTCCTCTTTTAAAATGGAAAAGGAATTCAAACATGGTTCATCAAATACGAATTCTGCATCTTTCACCAGCAAGTCACTAAGAGGTTTAGAAATTTTAGAAAAATCCTTAATGAACCTCCTATAGAACCCTGCATGGCCTTAAAAGCTTCTAATTCCTTTTACATTCATAGATGGAGGTAATTTACTAATCACTTCTATTTTAGCTTGATCAACCTTTATCCCTATCACGAAAATCTTATGGCCAAACACTATTCCTTCTTGAACCATAAAGTGACATTTTTCCCAATTCAACACCAAATTAGTGTCTTGGCATCTCTGTAAAACAATGGACAAGTTAGATAGGCAGTCATCAAATGAAGCTCCAAACATAGAAAAATCATCCATGAATACTTCAATTATTTTCTCAACTAAGTCAGAAAAAATAGCAAGCATACACCTTTGAAATGTGGCTAGAGCATTACAAAGCCCAAAAGGCATCCTTCTATATGCAAATATTCCAAATGGACAAGTAAATGCAGTCTTTTCTTGGTTAATTGGAACCACAACAATCTGGTTATAGCTAGAATATCCATCTAGAAAGCAATAAAATGCATGACCAGCTAACCTTTCTAACATTTGGTTTGCAAAAGGTAGAGGAAAATGGTCTTTTCTGGTCACATCATTCAGCCTTCTATAATCTATGCACATCTTCCAGCCTGTAACTGCCCTTGTAGGTATCAATTCATTTTTTCATTTGGTACCACAGTCATTCCTCCCTTTTATGTACCACTTATACAAGACTTACCCAGCTGCTGTCTAAAATAGGATGTATAATCCCAGCATCCAATAATTTCATGACCTCCTTTCTTACCACTTCCTTCATGGAAGGATTTAATCTTCTTTGAGACTACACAATTGGTTTAAATTTCTCTTCAAATAAAATTCTATGTTTGCAGAAAGTTAGATTAATACCTTTCAAATTTGATATGCTCCATCCTATTGTTGACTTGTGTGCTCTCAAGATTCTCAATAGCTTTTCTTCCTCTTTATCCTTGAGTTCATTGCTGATTGTGACTGGATTTTCGTGATTTTGGTCCAAAAATGCATATCTCAAGTGAGAAGGCAGTTGCTTGAGTTCTAACTTCTGAGTTTGTTCTTCTTCTACTTCCTTCCTTGATTTGTTTCTCTGTAGGGGTCCAACTGGTAGAGTTTCCAATTGCTACACAATATCCATAAGGTGTTCTTCCTTATGCATCACAAATTTAGTATTTCTTGCAGCTATGGTTTCTCTCAACACAAAAATTTTATCAAATTCATTAAAATGATAAGGATTAAAAAGAGAATCCAATATATCCACTCTCATACATGTGTTATCATCAATTGGATACTTGAGTGCTTTAAAAGCATTAAATATTACCTTTTCATCCTACACTCTAAGCATGAGCTCTCCCTTTTGAACATCAATAAAAGCTCTTCCAGTTGCAAGGAATGGTCTTCCCAAAATCAGAGGTATATTTGCATCCACTTCCATGTCTAGAATGACAAAATTTGCAGGAAAAATAAATTTGTCAACCTTAACCAACAAATCTTCTACAACTTCGTATGGATAAGTGAAAGATCTATCAGCTAATTGCAGTGTAATGTTGGTTAGTTTCACTTCTTCTATTCCCAACTTCTTCGTGATAGCTAGGGGCATGAGATTGATACTTGCTTCTAGATCACATAAAGCTCTTCCTACAATATATTTTCCAATTTCACAAGGGATGCTGAACGATCTTGGATCCTTGAGTTTTTTAGGAAGTTTTCTTTTAAGAATAGCACTGCATTCTTCTGTTAATGGTACTGTCTTGTCATGTTCCAACTTCCTTTTCTTGGAAAGCAATTCTTTCATAAACTAAGCATAAGATGGCATTTGCTCTAATGCTTCTGCAAAAGGAATATTGATCTGTAATTTCTTGAACACATTCAAAAATCTTTCAAACTGCTCCTCTTGCTTAGGATTCAGCACTCTTTGAGGATAAGGTAACCTTTTATATTTTTCTGGATCAATTGGACTGCAAGAATCCTCAAAGAGCTACTTCTTTGTCTTTCTCTTAGAATTTGTTGGAGTTTCTACCTTATTTTCTGAATGTTCTTTCTTTAATAGCTTGAAATTTCCTTGTTGCATATCGTTTTCTATTTTTCCTTTTTCTACTGCATCACTCACTTTCATTTCTGCAGGTTTTGGACTGGCTACCACAACTCCACTCCTTGTTGTTATAGCTTGACACTACTCTTTTGGATTTATCACTGTGTAACTTGGAAATCTTCCCTCATCTCTATTTGCTAGTTGTTCAGCCAACTATCCAATCTGAGTTTCTAGCTTCTTCATGGAAGCTTCTTGATTTTCAATGCTGGTTTGAGTGACCTTCATGAACTGCAGCATTGTCTCTTCAATCTCATTCATTCTTTCATTCATAGGTCTGGACGAATTCTGACTTATTTGAGGTTAAGTAGAGGAATTTCCTTGAAAATTCTGTTGTTGCTGTGAAGTTCCTGCATTTGAAAATGGAAGAGAGGGATTAGTGTTTTTCACAGCAGAATTTTGAGAATTCCATTTGTAAAATGGTTGATTTATGTTATTTGGATATTGGAACCCAGGAGGAAATGAGTGCTGAGGAAAACATTCTTGCTGTCTTTGATAATTCCCCATATAATTAGCTTGTTCTTGTGGATTTGGTATAGGTACATCACATGCACCATTAACATGATTCCCTCCATAAAAATCACAACTTAATTGATTGGTTGCAACATTTCCGGCTCTTAGATTGCTTATCTGCTGAGTCAAAGCTGCTATTGCCCAGAAAATAATTGATTTTGCAGCTGACTTTGCAAGAAAAGTTTCTATAGCTTTAGCTTCATATCCATTACTTCTCCCTGCATGTCTTGAGTTGGAATTCTGGTACATAGATGAAGCCATCATCTCAATAATTCTTTGAGCTTCTTCTAAGGATTTCATACTTAAAGAACCTCCTGCAGCTGTATCTACCATGGTTCTAGTCACTACATTCATTCCATTGTAAAAGGTCTTCAACTGCATCCACTTTGGAATACAATGATGTGGACATCTTCTCAATAACTCTTTATACCTCTCCCAAGCTTCATATAGTGGCTCTCCTTCTTGTTGCACAAAGGATGTGATTTCCCCTCTCAGTTTGGCAACTTTTGATGGAGGAAAAATACTTGGTTAAGAGTTTGTTCACAGGCGTTGTCCATGTGGTGATGCTCTCTTGAGGCTGTGCTTGTAACCAACACTTGACCTTGTCTCTCAAAGAGAATGGAAATAGCCTCAATCTTATAGTTTCTTCACTCACTCCATTCATCCTTATAGTGTCACATAACTGCAGAAAATTAGAAATATACAAGTTAGGATCATCAGAAATTCCACCAGAAATTGATCCTGTTGTACCAAATGAAGCAAGGTTGGTTTGATTTCAAAATGATTAGCTTGAATGGTTTGGTCTAACTATTGAAGAATTATAGCCCTGCATATTTGGAATTGCATAATATCCTAATGTCCTTATTCTATGTTGTTCTGCCATTTCAATTTCTGGAGTTGCCTGTGCTAAAGGTGAATGTGTTTTCTGCAGAAGAGGAGTAATCTGAATTTTTGGAGAATGTATAGTTTCTAAATCACTCTCACCTTCTACAGAACTTTCTGCTCTAGCCTCTTTTCTTAATCTTCTTAAAGTTTTATCTATGTTAGAATTAAAGACAAGAGGAGACTTATTTTTGTTTTTAACATGCATATACAATCAAAATGAGAAATAAGTAAGAAGAAAACAAAAAACTGCACTAATTCTATTATTCAAGCAATGTAACTACTTAAGGTAATACAAAGATCTATCAGAAATCCAAACTATAAAAGTACAGAATTAACTACTAAATTGATTACAAAATAGAAAAATTCTAAATGTAATCTGATACTATAGAAAATTAAAGAAAACAAATGCTCAATCTAGTTATTTTCCTGTTACTAATGATATTGAAAAAAATTATTTCCTGGCAACGGTGCCAAAAACTTGTCACCTTCTCAACAGAAGTAATTTTGACTAGCAAGTGTACTAGTGTTATTGTAGCAAGTTATAAAATTTTTTTTGAGTCCCAAATATCGTCCTCAAGGAATAGAATTCTCAAATATCACTTCACAAGTCCACAATTAGTTGAGCCTAACGAAATTCAATTGAAGTTTGGAAGCAAAAGCAACAAATATTAAACTTCAGAAAATAGAACAGAACAAAGATTATGAAAATGTGTATTTAACAGATGTAGAAAACATAGTTAGGGACTTGTTTCACCAAAACTTCAGTGTTGATTCAATAAAGTTCTGAACTTGCAAGTACTTAGATGGAATGACAATCAGTTTCACAATATATTAATCAAAGGTTAATTCCTTAACTCAATGAATCTAACATTCAATTCAATCATTCAAATTCCTTAGATCTGGTTCAATTAAATATTGCATTAAGCATTAGAAACCAAAAGATTGCAAGATAAAGATGTCTTATCCCTAAGAAATCAATAATCTTGGTAATTGATTCAAATCTGAGAAACAAGTTCAACTTCCATTGATAAAAGTTCCTCTGTAATTAGTTAATCAAATTTTCGTTCAATAACTACTTGAAAAGCAGAATCAATTACTCAATCCAATCCAGCACTGAAAGTTCCGATCTAAAATCAATTCAACACTTCCATTTCAGATCCACAATCCCTAACTACAAAGAGTTTAAGCAACCATTACAAAATGAAAAGAGAAAGAAAGAGAAGAAGAAGATGAATGAAGAAGCATATTCAATCTGATTCCTCAAGATTTGAAGCTTGGTGTTCGTCCTCAATCTATCTCTCAGACTCTCTCAACAGCAAAAAACAAATGGAATGTAAAAATGAACAAAAGATCCAAACAGATCTGAGCTAATTCATATTTATAGACTTCCTGCCTTTCTGGGATGGTCACTATTTTTCACTATAGTAGCAACGCAGAGGCTTTTCTAATAATCTTTAGTGATAAATGCAGATTTTACTAGTTTTTTACCTTAGTTTTTAATACATTTCATATGAAAAACATGATGGAGAAAGCTAGAAAACTCATAAAAATAATAGAATGTTCAATTCATTTCTAAATAATTTAATTGTTTAGATTTTGTGAATTTTCTATGTAAAAAGTACTGATTAGAAAGTAGAAGAAAAGTAGCAAAAATTGAAATCAAGGAACAAGGTCTGGTAAGGCAAGAGTTGGGCATTATCACTTTTCTTCATAAAAGTGATTGTTCCAGAAGCTTAATATTGAAGAAAGACCTGCACGTTATCACTTTTATTCACAAAAGTGATTGTTCCAGAGAAGCTTCCATCAAAGCAAGATGCGAATTATCACTTTGTTCACAAAAATGATTGTTCAGCTGCACATGATCACTTTTCCTTACAAAAGTGATTGTTCCAGAGCCTAACATTGAAGGTCGAGTACGCGTTATCACTTTTCCTTACAAAAGTGATTGTTCCAGAGAGCCTTCTAGCAAAGCAAGCTGCGCGTGATCACTTTTCCTTACAAAAGTAATTGTTCAAGCTACGTGTGATCACTTTTCCTTACAAAAGTGATTGTTCATGCTGCGTATGATTCCTATTGTTCACGAAAGTGAACAAGCGCATACCATGAACCTTTGCGTTGCTACTTTTATGAAAATAGTGATCACGCGAGAAAAGCGAGAAATTCTATAAATAAGAGAATAGCCAAGAAACTTGTATCTTTTTCTCATTTTTCATTTTCACACCTTAGGAGAGTTAGAGAGGGAGATTGGGGGTGACTTCCAAGCTCTTGACCTTGAGGAATCAGGCTGGAGATTGGATTTATGAAGAAATTGTGCAGCTCTTCTTCTTCTACTCTTTCTCTCTCTTTTTCTTCTATGAACATGTTCTGATTTCTTTTTCTTATGGATTGATGGATCCGATTTTGATATTATAAATTGATTGTGGATCTGAATTTTAAGATCTTGATTGTATTGAACGTTTAATTCTTTCCGTAATGCAATTCTTGAATTAGTTATTCATTTGAATTGAACCTAGAGGATTTTCATCAATGGAAGTTGAGTTAATTTCTTTCGGACTAGAACAATCACTATTCTTCATGAAAGTAGCAAAGCAGAGGTTCGAGGTTTGCACGTATTCACTTTCGTGAACAAAAGGAGAGACCTGCAGCTTGCAGTGATGGAAGGCTCTCTGGAACAAGCACTTTTGTGAACAAAAGTGATAACGCACAGCTTGCTTTCCTATAGGCTTCTCTGGAACGATCACTTTAGTGAACAAAAGTGATAACGCACATCTTTGCTATGCTGGAGCTCTCTCTAGAACGATCACTTTTGTGGACAAAAGTGATAATACGCACCTTACTATGCTTGAAAACTCTATGGAACTATCACTATCATCAGCAATAGTGATAACGCACATGTTATCCTTCCATGTTAGCCTTTGGAACAATCACTTTTGCCAAGAAAAGTGATCACGCCCAACTTTTGCTTCATCAGACCTTGTTCTTTGCTTCCAATTTTTGCTACTTTTCTTCTATCTTTCCCTTGATCTACCAATCTTATGAACTTAGCTCAAAATTTCCTACAAAAATATGATTAAATCATTACTTTTTACATAGAAAATTCATAAAATCTAAACAACTATGTATTTAGGAAAGGCTTTAAAAATTCTATTATTTTTATGAGTTTTTTAGCTTTTTCTAACATGTTTTCTTTATCAAATGTATTAAAACTAAGATAAAATACTGGTAAAATATGGATTTATCACTTGCCAGAATGCATCTTCCTATTGGCATCTCGGATTTGCACCAGGAAATCATTATGGATTTTCACAGTCCCAAGATACAAACTCCTTAGCCTTACCTCCATTGCTAGATTCATGTCTCAAAACTACTCAACTAACTCCATCTCTTTCACCATAATAGCTGCCACATGCAATAACTTTCTTCTCAATGCGTCAGCCACCACATTCGCCCTGCCAGGATGGAAAGACAATGTGAAATCATAGTCCTTGAGAATTCCATCCACCTTTTCTGCCCCATGTTCAGCTCTCTCTGATCAAATAGGTATTTCAAACTCTTGTGATCACTGAACACCTCAAACCTTGCTCCATAGAGATAGTGCCTCCACACCTTCAGAGCAAAAGCCACTACAGCTAACTCCAAGTCATGAGTCAGATAATTGACTTCATGAGGACGCAATTGCCTCGAGACATAGGCAACCACCCTTTCGTCTTGCATCAGAACACATCTAAGTCCATGCCTTAATGCATTGCAATACACATCAAACTTCCGCTCTGGGTCGAGTAGAACTAACACAGGCGCTGAAGTCAACTTCCCTTTCAGCTCTAGGAAACTAGCCTCACACTCCCTACTCCATTTAAACTCCTTCCTTTTACGTCTCAGCTTCGTCAAAGGGAAAACTATTTTAGAAAATTTGTCTATGAATTTCCTATAATAGCCAGCTAGTCCCAGAAAACTATGGATCTCTGTCACATTTGTAGATCTCGACCATTGGGCTACTACTTCCATCTTACCAGGATCCACCATAATTCCATCCTTCGAGATTACATGTCCCAAAAATTGAATTTGTGACAGCCAAAACTCGCACTTGGAGAATTTTGCATACAGTTGTCTCTCCCTCAAAATCTACAAAACTATCCTCAAGTGCTGCTCCTCCTGATTCGTCGAATAAATTAGGATATCGTGAATGAACACCACCACAAACTTATCCAAAAACTCATGGAAGATTCTGTTCATGTAGTCCATGAACACAACAAACACATTGGTCACACCAAACGACATCACCAAATACTTGTAGTGACCATAACACGTCCTGAAGGCTATTTTGGGCACATCCTCATTCTTCACCCTAATCTGATTGTACCCTGATCTTAAATCAATCTTTGAAACACTGCAACTCCCTTTAACTGGTCCATCAAATCATCGATTCTGAGAAAAGGGTACTTGTTTTTTATTGTCACTTTATTCAGTTGCCTGTAATAAACACATATCCTTATGCTCCCATCTTTCTTTTTCACCAATAGAATAGGTGCTTCCTACGGCAACACACTCAACCTTACAATCCATTTCTGTAATAAGTCTTCTACTTACTTCTTAACCTCTGCCAACTCCACCGATGACATCTTAGATGGTGCCACAGAAATCAAGCTTGCTCCCAGAATGAGGTCAATGGTGAATTCTATCCTCTCTCTCTAGTGGCAACTCTGAAACATCATTAGGGAAAACTTCTAAGAAATCCCTCACCATTGGAATATGCTCTGGCCTTACCCCACTTTCAGCTTCTAGTGAGAACATGACCATAAAGGTCTTAGCATTAACCGTGTTCTCCCACGCACTTTGACCTAAAAGTCTAGGAATTTCTAATGTTGACTCACCAAAGATCAAGGTTTTCTCCTTGCAGTCTAACAAAATATGGTTGGTGGATAACCAATTCATTCCCAAAATCACGTCCAATTGAGAAAGAGGCAAACAAATGAAGTTCACCTCAAAGTCCCTACCATGCACCATTACAGAACACCCCAGACACGCCAATAAGGTTACAATCGATTTACTTGTAGGGGTAGTCACCACCATGTTACATGGTAATTCAGTTACAGACAAACCTAAGCATTTCACACAATCCAAATCAAATGAGTGCGTGGCACCCGAGTCAAACAACACATCTAGTAACCTCTGTCTTATAACACATTTACCTCTGATCAGCTCCTTAGATTGTGAAGTTTCTGTTCCACTCATGGCAAAGACCTTTCCCAGAATGCTCAACATCAGCCCCGTGCTCCCTTTTGATTCCAGCCTCTAATTCATGCTCACACTGCTGCTCTTCTTAGGAGCAGCCCAACACACATTGGTAGTGTGTCCTAAGCTTTCCACAATTTCCACAGTTGGTCCATGGCTATAGGCAATCTCACAGAATGTGCGGCCCTCTGTATATGAAACATCTGATTGGCCCTTTGGAAGAGCCAAAATCAGAGCCACCATTGCTCCTTTCCAATGATGAAGTCCCTCTAGATTGAGAATGGCTGGAGCTTGAATATGGCCCCTTAGAGAACCTAAGAGGTCTTCGGTCTTGCCTCATTGGACCACTCGCTCTAGTGTCCACTATCTTACCCTTCGAGTTGGCTTCAAATATTTTGGACTTGCTCACTAGAATGGGCAAGTTAGTCAACTAAAATACACTAACTGTAGCACGAATCTCTAGCCTTAGACCATGCTCAAATTAAGCACACAAGTCCTCCTCCCCATCTCTGCGCTGATAGTGAGACCAGTACTTCATCAACTCCTAGAACTTCGCTGCATATTCTCCCACAGTCATGCTTCCTTGTTTCAAGTTAAGGAATTCTCGAGCCTTCTGCTTCTTAAGATCCAGGGAAAAATAGTTCCCTGGGAAGCTCGCCTTGAACGCCTCCCATTATATATAGCCACCTTCTTGTGGCAAAGTTTAACTGGAAAACCTTCACCAGTCCTCTGCCTCTTCACATAGCATGTATGTGGCGTAAGTCACCTTGTGTTCTTCCCTGCATCCCATGGCATGGAAGACCTTCTCCACATCCGCCACCTATCTTTGGGCTCATTATGGGTCAAACTTTCCCTCAAACTTTGGAGGGTTGTGCCTAGTAAAGGCTGACAGCCCTCACTATTCAGCTGGTTCTCCGTCTTGATTATGCACCAGTGCCTCTAGAACTTGGGTCATTCGCTCTAGAAGGTCATTGGTGATACCAGCTCCTCTACCTCTACCGACTATTTCTAATCTAGTCTATCAAACAAATTCAACAATTACATTGTAACAAGTCAGTTTAACATCAAACATTTACAATTTAGGTAAACAAGAAAATATCAGCACATTGCTTGGACGCATCAGCCCCAATATCCCAGTCCAATTTGGATGAACTGCTCTGATACCAAAATTATAGCACCTTACGTTATTTCAATGTATTTCAAAATAAAATATTTTCACAATTTGAGAGGGAAAATAAAAATTTCATTTCTAATAACTTCAAATGCATAGTTTCAACAAAGTATTTCAAAAAATGGGATGTGTTACAAATTTGAATCAAGTAAATGTTAATAAATCACAAATTTCAAAAATAACTTTCTTAATCCTATAGCAGTGTCATGCATACCTAGTCACTGAGCTTGGTGCTGATAATCTTGTTCACCTGAAAAATAAATGTAAGGTGAGTCGTCTATGCGCTCACACACACAAACACAGAAACTCACCTTGCCTATCTCATAACCTATAATATAATAAAATCACACTTTAACAACATTAATTTATTCTTTTCAAGAACAAACGCATATTTGCACATCAATTCATACAAAGGTGCGCTCACTGCACCTTCAATCATTTCACACACACACGCACGCTCACTACACGTTAGCCACGTTGACTGTGACACTGTGATCACAGTTTTTTGATGCCCTCAACATCAGGGACTTACTCAGTTTCACACCATGGATGGTCGCCAGTTAGCCCCGCTTCATAGATACAAGTGTGCAGTCACGGGTCCCTTAGCAAAGGTGTTGGTCAGAGCAAGTCAGGAGAAGAGTGTATAGCCTGTGGTGTACCCACGCTCACTGTTGGTGTCACTACCATCCTCTTTTCCCCAAGATATTCCTATTGCCCTCATCTTCTACACCCCAATGTATCGCTGTAACCATTCATAATTCTCAATCATTTTAAAGACAACCATAATCACAATCAACATGCCATTTACACGCTCTCACCCACATTCTCATTCATCCCACAACATTCATTCTCAAACATGGCATATATACACGCATTCAACTAGTTTCATCACACACTTTATCCAAAACCTACCACATTATGCTCAACATAAAATTCCCATCTAAACACACATTTTTCTATGTTCTATCTCAATCACATTTCAATACCTAACAATATAAACGAATTTTAAACCCAAAGAAATAGGGTAGAGTCCCTCCTTACCTCAGATTGAAGATTCACGATAAAATCGTTGGTAGAAAGTCCCTTCACACAGTTTTTGTCCTAAATACATGGAGAACTCCATGAGAAATCCAGAAGAATGAAGAAAGAGTGAAAACCAAAAGCCCTAACTCATGAAACTTATCTCCAAATGTCCAAAACACGTCCCCAACCTTCAATCTAGAGTAGAAATGGCCTTGAAGGCAATGTAATCGGTGAAAACAGGTTAGAGATCAATAGAATCGAAAAAGAGTCACGATATTTTCTCGAACCCTAAACCCTTCAAATACCCCAAGAGTCACGATATTTTTAAATCAAATAGGGTTGTCCCTTAACCCTGAGGTCTAGAACACATGTAATAGGAGACATGTGGTGTATGAATTACATGTTGACATTTTTAAATCCTTACTTGAGACTTTCGATGTTTTAAAATGTATTTATAAGTGTATTTTGATTTTGACGATTCTCAATCTTTGGTTGAGAATTATTTTACACTTGATGTTTGAGTAAATATTATTTTATGAAAATTGTGATTTATTTTAAGTGAGCTATTTACTCAAAGCTTGTTGAAAACTAAAGATCAATTAAATGGAATACTTTATTAAAATGCTCAACATAAGTATGTGTGCCTGGTGTACTTGAACAAGTTATATTGTGTTTTGTGCTGTTTTAAAATATATAGTTTGGTTCATATGTTGATTGTGTAAAGCACTAAGAACAGACATATAGGCATATGTAGGCTAAGTGGGCACCATTTGTGAATTTGAGCCCTTTAAGGGTGAGAAATGTGTTGTGATAAGCTAAGAGGAAATTGGTATGTAAGTATATGCGCTTTAAGAAGTTTGGCCATGGTTTCAACTTAGACCTAGAGTTCAATAATTGAATCTAATGACTAAAAGTAAACCTTTGTGAAAACTTTATTTTCTTTATTTTGAAAATAAATGAGTAATGTAACTCTAGTTGGGTAATTATTGGAACTCAAGGAAAGAGATGAAGCTAGTGAGCTTGGAACACTTAGAGAAAGTGTATTGAGGCATGAGTATAAGTACTTGTCAATTCTCTATATATATGGTTCTAAATAGTTGACGAAATGACATGAAATTTTAAATTTGGCCAATATCTCTGTGCGTGATTAAAGGAGTGAAACTTCAAAAGTGTGCATGACTATTCAGAAGACAAATATATGTGAAATCCCACTCTCCTATGAAGGAAGTCACAAGGTTATTTTATAACTATTGTTGATGAAAGATAGGAAGGACCATGACGTCTAGGGGATTTGATGGAGTTAGGTGACTGACCAATAGCACTATGAATGTCCTAGGCCTCGGAACTCTGGTTAGGAGTGTAACACCCTTTACCCCTCCTCTGTTCTCTATGATCTCTCACCTTCTCTTCTCAAAAATCTTCCTCAAAACTTCAATCTTCCTTCGAATCTGGGCTTGGAAGTTCAACCATTCAGATCCAAGAAACCTTAACCCTTAAGGCGATATCCTTTCTTGGAACGTTGTACCTCTCCCTTTGGACCTTTAAGAAAAACTCAACTTGAGAGATCCATATCCAGGTATGGGAAGTGGATCCCAAACCCTAATTCCGTTTTGGTATTTTGGTTTGAAAATACTAAGTTTTTCTATTAGAACCCTAGAATACTAATGTTTTCTTGAATCTCAAGTGTAAGAATAACAATTTTTGACATGAAAACCCATGATTATTTTCAAAACTAGCTACATACGAAATGTAACAACAGCTCTAGAAAGAACCGTTTTGAGAAATATTAGGATTTTACTGGTGAACATTTTGTTAGAGATGGTTAAGATTACTATTTGACATTTTTGGAATAATAGTCATACTGTGAATATTAAATGATACAAAAACTTTAGGATAGATAACTGTATTGATACTGAGAAAGTGTGTATTGAAATTGTATGATTGGTCTAAGTCTGGAGGTGTCTGACCTTCAACATATTATATTGATCTATATGGTGTGAAATTAATTTATGATTCTTCTATGATGGACTGATATAATATGATAACTATGAATGTTTATCTGATGACTAATGTATGTTGAAATTAGTGGATTTGAGTTATTTGAGGAAAAGTGAGTAATATGACACGATTGTGAAATTATGAGATTTGTGATTATAATACGTGAGTCTTAATTGACTAATAGGTGTGATTATGATACAAGTATTGTAATACATCTAAGGGTGTACTTATAATATATGTTTTGTAATATATGGCTTTATATAAAACATAACTCACGTATTATGACATATTGATCGATGAAAAAGATGTGGAAATAAAATGAGAAATACTAAGAAAGAGAATAATATGAGAAATGTTGAGAATAAGTATAGATAGTCACAAAAATACACTGGGGTATGGAAGACGGAGCGATTGTAAAGATCTAGTAGAAATGAGGGTGGTAGATGCTTTTCTATAAAATGTGCATAATTAATGAAAATAGAGGGAAAAGACACTACAGGCCTCACTGATTTCCTAACTTAAATCCCTAACTACACCTTTGTTAAAAGGAGCCAGGTCGGCACACGTGTATTCGTGTTGCTGCGACTAACCAACAACTGTCTATGCTATGAAGTCCTCAAGGGATCCCAAGGGAAATGAATATGAAAGTGTGATGAATATAAAATGCATGATTATAATATATGCTTTGTAACATATTGATTGATGTTGCTATGATATATGTGTTATAATACATCAATGGGTGCGATTATGACACATGTATTGTGACATATTGATTGATGTAATAAGATACATGTATTATGACATACAAATTAGTGTAGAAAAGTATGTTATAAATATT